TCGTATATACATATACATATGCACACAAGAGACAGGGAGACATGTACCCTCCCTAACCCCCCCCGCATTGTCAAAAAAATTCAAAACATAAACGATAGTGGCTTCTTGAAATAATGCTTTATTTCTTTTACTTTTCAAATATTTTCACCCCCCTTCCCGACCGTTTCTTACGCGCACATCCATGCATCCATTGAGATATTGCCTTGCTGCACTGCAGGCAAATAAATGTAGTAAAAAAGTTTTTTTTTTTCCTCCGCTGATAAATTCTCCCCTTCTCCCCTTCTCCTCCTTTTCCATCTTTTTTTTTTTTTTTTCTGCCCCGCTCAAACGCACCCACCGCAAAAACAAAAGAAACGTACATTCATGTGTGTACGGCTGTTTCCCTGCCCAGCAAACATCATTTGGGTGCAAAACAGAGGGATAAAGGCACAACAGCACAGAATGATTTACAACAACAAGCAGGCAGGCAGGCAATAATAAATAACAAAACAACAACAACAACAACAACAACAACAATAAGAAACAAACATAAATCCGTTTATTTCGGTTGATTGGTTCCACGCGCTTCTTCTATCCGTCTTCTTATTTCCCGTTTATTTCGCCTTTGGACGCAATTATTATTATTATTAATTGTTTAACGTTAAAACACCACCACCACGACGCCCATCCACAGGGCCAACCGTAAATTCGCAGTCACGAAGCGCCACATGGACGGTGGCACCCGCAAGAAGAGACACGCGGCCCACGCCTTTGCGACATCGCCGTTTCCTCCACTCCCTCCTTTTGACCACTTTTTTTTTTTTTTTTTTTTTGGGTTGGGAGCTGCCGCCGCCGCTCGACTCTTCGCCACAACAAACCAACCAACCAAACAACAACAGGAAGAAGAAATAATAATAATGAAAAAGAAAAAAAAAAAAATAATAATAATAATAACAGAGAAAACAGCAATCATTGATATCCAAAGAAAAAAGAGGAAGCGGCTGCATGTGCGTGCAAGTCAAGAAAAAGAAGAAGACCCACTTCAGCTGTGAGTGAGTCATCGACAGGGCAGAACAGCAATGGAAGGGGAAGAAACACGACAAAAACGGTCAAACTTCCACCACCACCACCACCGCCGCCGCTCCTTTCGTCCTTTTTTTTTTTTTTCAATAAATTCACATATCAAACACCACCACCCTGCGCCCCTCCCCCCAAACAGGCATTTACCGCCGACTGCGGTGTGTGCTGCTCCCACCACTCAACGTCCCCCCATCACACACCCCCGCAAAAAAACAAAAAACAAAACAAAACAGCAGAGAAATGAAAATAAAGACAAAGGAGCAGGCATGAATCAACGTCGCAACCAACGCGCTGCGCATTAACCATCCTCTCTTTCTTTTGTTAAGAAAAAGGAAAAAAGAAAAAACAAAAAAGAAATTAAATCATAAAATTCGTCTTCTTTAAAGAATCTTTTAAGAAAACAACTTTGACATGCATACAGGAACACATATGCTCACCCATGCCGTAATGTCATGTGCGTACCAGCATGTTATCAGGTGGAGTAGGACAAAATGATGCAGGACACACACACATACATACACACAAATACATACACATATATATATATATAAAGGGAGAGAGAGAGAAAAAGAAAAAGAAAAGGAAAAAAAGGTGTGGTAATGCCACCCTTCTTTTCTTTCTGATGTGTGATTGAGGAGGTCTACCCCTCTTCCTCTCCCTCCCCATTCTTCTCAGGCTACAGGCGCTAAACAAGCCAAAAAGACAATGAAAACAACAACAACAACGACAACAGGAAAATCACACGCAGTTGTCATGATAGAAATATATGACAATATTAATTATTATTAGCATTCGTAAAGTGGATTGTCGCCGCCCCCTCATTTCTTATGCTTCGAATCCCTTTTTTTGGCCGGTTTATCCTCCACCACCCCGCCTCCCTTCGGTGAGGGGGGGGTTTGGGGTGGGTGAGGCGAATAGTCCTTCCCGCACCAACTCGTATCCCTTGAAGCATTCAACCAAAAAATCCAATTCTTTTTCCTCCCGCATCTAATAATAATAACAATAATAATAACAGGAAACACACACACACACAATATTTATATGTAGGATTAATTACAAAAAAAAAAGAAAAAGAAAAAAAGAAACCGTAGAAATACAGACATGTACATCTATAAAAGTGTGGGTATGTGAGGCTGAACCTCCCATCCCACTGCAATGCCTTCAACCCGGTCCGCCCCCATCGTTTTTTTTTTTCTTTTTTTTCATTTTTTTTTATATTTTATATTTTACCCGCCGCTAACGGCAGGGAGACCCAAGAACGGGATGTGGCACATCAAATAGGGAATATAAAAGCAGAATCAAATCAAAACAAACAAAAACGTACAAACACACACGCAGAAAAATCAAAATAGGGAATAAACACAGACGGAGACACACACACACACACAACAACACCAACAACAACAACAAAAGAAAACATGTAAGATAAAACCACCACCACAAAAAAGCGTGGAAGAAAAACGAAAAACAAAAAAAAAAAAAAAAGAAAAAAATATTTCATAAAGTTTTGGTAATGTCTTCTTTGGCTTGCCTTTTCGCTTTCCTTTTGAAAATGCTGCCAGTTAAATATAAAGCTTTAATATATAAACATACACTGAAAAGCCCCGCCCCAACTATAAACACAAAAACAAAAAAAAAAAAAAAAAGGAAAGAAAGAAGGAAAGAAACACACACACACAAAAAAAAAAAACAAATAAACAAACAAAAAATACACACATACATGTGTAAATAATAATAATAATAAAAATAACAAAAATGTTTCATTTCCTTCGTGATCTTTTTTCCCCATTCCCCTCTCCTTTTATTTTTATTATTATTATTTTTTTTCTTTCCCCTGCCGCAAATACATAAAATATATTAATAAGCACAAAGATACATGCACATACATACATAAATACAAATATAAATATAAACATATGTATTTATCACATTTCCAACGTGTTGACAAAATCTTCTTTTGTTGTTTGGCAAAAAAAAAAAAAAACCACCTGATTTTATTTGATATTATTATTATTATTATTATCATTATCGTTGTTATTATCATAAATACATACATGTACATACATACATACATACATGTACATACATACATACATACGTGTACATACATACATACATACATACGTGTACATACATACATACATACATACATACGTGTACATACATACATACATACATACATACTTACATGTGTATATGTACGTATATACATATATATATATTATTATTATTATTATTGTTTTTTTGTCTGCGTGTTTGTTCATACAAACCCACTCAACTTTTGTTTGTTAATTTAAAAAATTAAAAAATTAAACATTTTTTTGTTTTATTATTTTTGTCTGTTTTATTCTTTTTTTTTTTTTTTTTGTTTGTTTGTTTGTGGTTGCTGCTGCTTTTGTTTTTGTTGTTGTTTTTGCGTGCGTGTGAAGAATAATAAAACAAAAAACAAAAAAACATAAAAAAACATAAAATAATGAAATAAAAACAAAAATGTTTCGACATGTCACCGCCTCACTTCTCTTCTTTTTTGTTTTCCGCCTCTCCTCTTCCCCCCCCACCCCCGCCCCCGCAGGGACACACTCCACCCTCCATCGTCATCATCACAACTGCTGCTGCTGCTGTTGGTTGTCATCCCCCTCTTCCTCCTTCCTTTTTTTTCGCGCCCAAAAAAAACAAAACAAAATGCAAAGCCCACAGATGAAAAATAAATTCTTCCACTGAATCCGTGACTTCATACATGTGCATGCGTCCATGTGAGTGGCAGGGGAACGAAACAAAACATTTATTCTTCCGTCGTGTGATTCCCCTCCCTTCCCTCCATTTGGTATCATGCCACTACAAACACTTGTACACACGCACACATGATCTCTCTCTCTCTCCCCTTCTCTTTCTTTCTATCTTCTCTTCTCTTTATTCCTCTGTCAATGCATCCTTTTACTTTTTTTTTTTGTTTCTCATGTCTTCTCAAAATAATTCGATGGCCCGCCACGCGCCAGCTGCCATCGCAGAACACATCCGCACCCCAACCAAGCAGAGATGTCAAAAAAAAAAAAAAAGAAAAGAAAGTAAAAAAAAAAAAAAAAAAAAAA